TTCTTCCATCTGGAGATACGTGGAAGACTTAGATATACAGTGCAAACTTTCATTTTCCTTAGCAGCAGGTTTTGCTAGAGAAAAATATGGAAGGAACAGTTGTAACATATTTTCACTGCTAGATAATAACAGCTAGGCAGCAAACAGTAAGTGCACATCTAAATTCAGCCTGTTATCCTTATATGAATTGCTTATAAAGTATGAACCTACTGTTTACATAGAAAATGGAAGGCAAGCATTCCCAAGAAAACTATTAAAAACTTTCTATATTACATTGTTATAATTTACAAAAAAAGTAATAATGTTTTGGAGTGTTTCTGACATCAGGTAAGAGGAGCAAAACCAGTGCTGTCCTCACTGGGAGCTGGAACTTTCAAAAATAATTCTGCAACAGGCCACTTGATGCCAGAATACGGGTGTTTACTCAGAAGTGAGTCTCACCTGTTTCACTGGAGCTTTTGTATAGATATGAAAAGATCCCCATCCCGGGTCCATGCACTCGCCAAAGGCTGAAAAGCACACATTACTTGCATAACAGTGATGTTACACATGCCACCTGAAGGGCCTCCAAAACTGCCCACAATGCTGGACCAATTTTAGCTTACAAATATTCTTCAATGGTAGCCCCATGTAAAGCTCATTGTAATAATCAAAGGGGAATATATGTAGTTCTTCTTTTCACCACTCCTCCTCCTTGTATTTTAACTATTTTTTTTTAAATGCTACTGTTGTTCTTCAGCTACTTCACTATATTCTTCATTTATGTTTTAGGCTGATGATGTATTTTTTGTGGTAAACTGTTTTGCATTTTGTGAAGGACAGCAGAAATATAAAATGTTTTACGCAGAGTAATTAATTTTCAAATCTCTCATCCAAAGTCCTTATCTCTGGATGGTTTATTCCTTTGATAGGAATATGCAAATAAAGCTTAAATTCCCCTCCCTAGGCAGGTAGCCATCAAGTTTGTTTGCCTGGCTCCATGTCAAGACAGTGTGTTTGCTCAAACAATTTAGTACAGAAGTCCCTCTAAATTATTATAGCCTAATTTAAAATAATATAAGACCCTAGTAGTATCTTAGTTACCCTAATTAAGTTCAAAAAGTATTTGTTGGAGAGCAACTGTCTGAAATGGGAAGAGGGCTTATTTATTTAGAAAATTTATATAGCTGCCTACTTGCTCACAGCCACTCTAGGTAGCTTAATAAGCAATAAAAGCACATCATGGGAAAAAAAAGAAAAACAATAACACCCCCCCACCACCCTTAAGCGAGGAATCAGCCTGGACTTCCTATGTAAATGCAAGAGGACTAGGTCTGACCCCCCCCCCCATGAATGCTTTACAGCCTTATCTAGTCTTTCCCAGGCAAAAGCTAGCCGTTTGGGGAGATTCTTGTAAGTATACACAAAGAATACTAAAGTAGCCAGTTTGAACTCTAAATGTGTGGGTTTGGTTGTTCGCGCCCGATGGTATTTTCTTCAAAACTCACTTTCTGTTGCACAATTCGGGTAAAGAGCTGAAGCACACGACTGCGCACAAAGCTATTGATATCACATGTGTGCGCCTGCAGAGTATCCAAGAACTGATCCCTTGTATTTCTGGCAGATTCTTCCAGTTGCTCCCCATTCAGCACTTGTAACAGCATCTCTGCCATAGCAGCCAAAATGGCATTACGCATTCCATAACTCTGCCGAATTAGAACATGGTTCAGAATGACATCTAAAACTTGTAACCCAAAATGTGATATGCCCAGAAAGCAAAAACCCCAAAGCTTTAAATTTGAAACAAATTTAATTGATTCATCTATGCAAGAATCTCAGGCCAAACGCTCTTTACAACAATAGCTTTCTGCTAGACTGGACTTACTGATAGTGAATTGCTAAATGAGAAAAGGCGACGAAAAGTGAAAATTTGCTGAGTTTTTGGTGAGCCAAATATATACTTGCAACAATTGCTGAGTAAAACCTTTCTGGGCCTTGCCCTCTTTAGTACCACTGTGATTCCACATGCAGCATCAGTTCAATAGACTGGTATCTTGATTTAAGTTATATTTATTCAAAAAAAGGTTCTAGAGCAGTGGTTCTCAACCTGTGGGTTGGGACCCCATTTGGGGTCGAACGACCATTTCACAGGGGTCACCAAACAACGCAGTCCGCCATTTTTCCCCCCTTTTCCTTAGCTGTGCTACTCCTTTATTCTATTGACTTTTGAAAGCCAATAGAATAGACTCTCTTGAATAGAGTCTAATTCTATTGGCTTTCAAAAGCCAATAGGAATTGTCCAGGCTGTCTCTGCCCTGTTGAGCCCGCCAAAAGTCCCATTCTGCAAACAGTGCTGCACCAGTTGAGTAGTCCTCGACTTACGACCGGTTGAGTAGTCCTCGACTTACGACCGGTTGGGGGGGGGGTCGCAGCATTAAAAAGGTTGACAACCACTATTCTAGAGTTCAACACTGCAAGCAAGAGACTTGCAAGCAAATAAATATATCATTGAAATTTTCAGGCTTTCCCCCCCACAAAATATCAGGTAGAAGTATCCACCTGAGGAATTCAAGCAGGATTACGAGGGAAAAAACAGAAGTCCGAGGGTTTATTCAACTTGGAAGAGAGGACAAGTGATGGTTCTGAACCTATTAAGATACAACAGAGCCCACAGCAGAGACAAAATTAGATATAAAAGCTTGCATTAACAAAATAAAAAATAAAAAAATGGGGGATTCAGTTTGCTTAAGAAGGAAAGCACCAGGTTCAGCATTAAGTTCATTAAGGTTTTTTTTTCAAGATCTCCAGCCAATGAAAATAGGAAGCTATTTATTTCATTCTCATATACAGTACTTTCTATATGGAAAATATAGTCTCTGTGAAACAACCTCCCCATCCAGGTGATGCAACAGGACACTCATGTTGGCCAGAACAATAGCTGGTGTTCGTTCAGTGAGTTCTGTCAGGAAGGCAGCATAGCCCTTCATCCCAGAAGCATCTCGAGCCAGTTCTTGAGGGCATTTCTGTCCAATTTCCCTGAACAATGAATCAGAAGTCAGTGATTCATGCTGCTGAGAATTATAAGAAAGACAGACAGAAGCCTCTCTTACCTTAATATCTCCCCCACGATACTCTTCATACCATATTCCTTGATCCACACAGTTACAGCCTCCACAAATACTGAAGCTAAATGTTCAAAGTGCTGAAGCATCTGTGTGACTTTCAGAGTGGCACCTATCAAAGAGAACTGTGGTAAGAGAAGACCTTCTTCAGTAACAGTATAAATTAGGATGGCTTAGATTAACCATTTATGGCTTGGAAATTAGACCTATTTCAGTATTTGGCCTGCTCCAGAGTAAAAGAAAGCAACAGACTTACTAAGCATATGGTCATATCGAGATAGAGCAACACCCAGGAGATGAATCACTGCGTCTCTTGTAGGTTGATGCCTCTGGTAGCTAATGCTAGGATTTTCCAGGATACGATAGAAACAGCCAGTTACCAAACTGAAAAGAAAGTCAAAATAAGAGTTAGAGTAGGAGGATATTGCAGTGCATTACTTCAAGTATGTCTTATCAGAGAGGTGCAATAATTCAGTGGCTTAAAAGACGCCAGAGAAGATCTGGGCTTTGCTGTCCTATCACAGTATGGCAGTGAGCTCCTGTCATTCGCCACAGCCCTTGACAACCTAGCAGTCCGAAAGCATGTAAATGCAAGTAGACAAACAGGTATGTCTTTGGACAGCGCTGCTCAATGGCCTAGAAATGGGGATAAGCACTGCCCCCTAAAATTGGCTATGACTAACAAGAGTAAAACCTTCAGGGACTCCTTTACCTTTTACAATCCTATCAAGATGTACTTAGCGTTTAAAAAACAAACTATGTTTTCTTCTTGGCTCACATGAATCATATCACTTTCTTCTTTTCCCATCTGACTGACCCTTCACTTTCCTCCAGCCCAGTGAAGTTTTGTCTAAAACAGCTTTCCATTCAACCTTTTTCATTTCTATACCTTACAAATTCTTCTTCCACTACCAAGCGATTCCACAGCAGATGAAGATTCAACTGAAGTAATTGTGTGAACAGTTGTATAATTGACTGCCTTTCTTCCTCCCAAGCAAGGCCTTTAGTCTGGTTTTTCTTGCTCTGTAAAACAAATCCAGAACATCAATTTAAGAAAAGACATGCACGAAAGCTATGTATGTAAAGGTCATGTTCAGAAATTACGTTAGTTGCTTCTGTTGATTTCAATTCTGGATGTATCCAGATTTGCTTATCTTAAACATTTACATATTCTCAATTGATTGCCTGTAGATTCTTCCTATAAGGCAGAGCCGATTCAAGGTCTGAGAGTTGAGCTGCCAATGTGTTTGGGATAGCAAAAATAAGAATGGGATATTTGACAGCTCCACTCGCACAATTTAATATAGGTTTTCAAAATGTTTATTAAAAGATTTACTAAGGACATAAAAACTAATACACACTAATAAAGAGTAGAGGGAGCAAAGAAAAAAGTGCAGAAATAAAAAATAATAAAAAAATAGAAGCTTCTGATTATCTTTTACTCTATGAGTACAAAATTATATTTTAAAAGATCATATAAACTTCAATATGGATACATAACATATCCTCTAACTGGCATTGCTGGAGTCACTCAAGAAGACAACCAGTAAAACTGAAATTAATCAGATTTCAGGGTAACAGGTTTAAAGGGGAAAAAGCTGCCCAGAAGTAAACATCTAGCAAACAGATAAAAGCCACTACCTTCCCCTTGGAATCCAATCCCACTAGATTGGTCTTGCCAGATTCCATTTCAAATGCCTCCACTAGCCGTACCAGTATATAACAATTCATCTTTAGAGCATTAAGATGGAGAACCCGAAGGGACGATGTCAGATCCGAATCATTCAGGATGGTTGTCAGGGCACTGGATTGACTAGTCACAACTAAAAGGAGAAGTGGGAAAGTATCATCTTCAGACACGGTCTCAACAGATATTTGTTCTAAATGTGAATTCAGGACAGCTTTCAGATTACCAAAGATTGTGCTCATGGTATCCTATCAGCGTACGTCTGGAGCAACCAGCAACCCATTACCCAGGCACACTAGATTTATCCTGTATCCACCCCCTGGCCACCTCTTGCAATACTATGCAAATGATGGATCTCATTCCAAAAAGATGGAAGACAGAAGGAATGGGATGTCCTGTAGGTCTGCCCTTACAGTGAACACACATTGCTCTGCATTGACCACCAAGATTACAGACCATTATGCAAGGAACAGGCTGAGGGAGCAACCTGCTGATGAGGTCACATTTGCCTTGTTATCATCATTTAGCTGCAGTAAGAACTTGTATTTCCTATGCTATTATTAGACCATATTTACCTTCCATCATCAGTTCTAAGGCATCTTCCTTCATTGCAGTATCTACAGTCCTGAAGTGGCTGCAAAACATGAATGTTAAGCCAAAACACATTACTTTTAAAAAGTTCCATGTATTCCCATTTATTTAAAGTTGCCATTGTACATTCAGCTCGTGTTAATTTTGGAAACAGAACTTCTGGGAACATTTCAGAATTTTCCCATAATACATCTAAGATGTCCAAAGCTCAGTGACAAATCATTTATATCATACATAATTCTTTTCAGTCTCAACCCCCTCTCTTTGCCATTTAGCAAAGTGGGTACAGGATATTAAATGGCTTCTTTAGCAAAATGAATAATTAGGACAGAAAGAACTCCCCTGTCATTTTCTGTTCTTTACACGTTCACTTCTTTCAATGCTGTTACCACATATGAACATGGCTTCTTATGATGTACTCTCAATCCTCAGACCAAAGCTCCCTCCAACAATACCAATAGTAACATGCAGACTCACTGTAGAATACTGAAAAGAGTATCAAAATGCTGCAGGATAGCAAGTGCTTCTTGTGTCTGGAATGCTGTCCGAAATACTGCAGAAAGAAAGTCCATGTGTGAAAAATGCTAGCTCCAGATCAACTGGCAGAAGATAGCTTTGACCCTATTTTTGCAGATTTCTAGATGGTTTAAGCAAGGATATCATAATTGTAATGGATACAACAACAAACATGATAATTCTTTAAATAAAGCTGTCAAGTGAAAAAGTATGGAATGGATTGTATGTGCAGAACCACAAACTCATTAAATTTTTGGTACTCAAAATTCTTTAGTTCAGAATCTCTTGTACATCAAGATGCAGTTAGTGAACCATGATTTTATTAATCGAGATCATTTATGCCTAATTCTCACTTAAAAAAACTTACTAGAACTGCTCCTTAATCATTTTATACACTGCTGCAGGATATGTAGTTACATTAAAAGAAAAATAAACCATAAATCATAACAACTCAAAAAAGCCTGCTTCATCGTGTGATTTGCTTGTTTTTGATAATGTAATACAGTATGTGAACCTTGCTACAATGCTAACACATTTTAGCTTAAACATTAGCTTATTTTTAAGGAACTTAACTAGATTTTGGTCTTTCCAATTTTCTGGAATGTATACCTTGCTGAAGCTAATGTAGATCTGTTTTGTCTATGCTTAAATCCTATGTATTTTGGTGCAGAATACAAATGCACTACATAACCAGAGTAAAAAAGGGTAAAAAAAATTACATCCTAAAAGTGTGCTGTTTATTATATAATCAGTAAATGCACCACCATCTAAATAGCTGGTATTGGTTGAAGACAGACGATCGGTCTTATCCTGAATTATCCAACCTATCCGATTCCTGTTTACTTCGGGATACTTGACAGCACCGTCTCTAAGAAATGATTGTTAGTCAGTGCTGCCTCTGTCGCTGCTTTGATGGAAAGGCACGACTCACATTAATTACTCGCCTTCCTCCTTCCCATTTCGCGGTACTTCGACTTGCACACAAACACGAGTCTCCAGGAGACTATTTCCCCTTCCCGCTTCTCCCACCAACCTGCCAGCTGTCTCGGGAGCTCTCTGAGGGGCAGCACTTCCTGCACCGTGTACTGCAGGGACCCCGCGCTGCGAAGCAAATCGGTTGGGGACAGAGGCAAATGGAACTCCCAAGCGGGAGGCGAAAGCGAAGTCGGGTCAGCCATAATCCCGCCGATCCGCAGCCTAATGGGAGGCTCAACCGAGCCTCAAACGCCCGCACTCCGAAACTCGGCGCCAGGCAGAATTCCGAGCATCGTAGATTTTGGAACGCAGGACCGACAGGCCTGACCTCTCGCGAAGCCGGCTCGACGACAGAACCGAGGGAAAAATCAAACTTGGCCTGCACCTCTCATGCGCACTTGCAGACAATAGGGGAAGGAAAAATGAGGCGCCAAGAGTTCGAATAATGTCTACTCGCCCAATCAGATTGTTCTTTGAAAGCTCGGCAGCCAATCGCTTTAAAGAACGATCGTTGTCTTGCAATCGAATCCGCAAGGACAGGCGCGCTTCGGAAGGCGAAGAGTTATGAAAAATAGAGTTACATTTGTGTTGAAGACTGAGTGTCTTACAGTGCTGTATGGTTCTATTTTTTATTTCTTTGGGTGCAAAGTGGGGCTCCCATCTTAAAAAATAAAATCAAGGTATCGTCTTTATTTCAATGCTTCATGTGTTTTGTAACCCACAAAACAGCTTCTGAAATACTTTTAAATGCTCGCAAATAGAAACAACGTTTGCAATAGTGGCGAATACCTGTGGCTTGGGTGTAGGATGAGGGCGAGGGTTCGTTCTCCGAACGTGGCTTGGTATCTGAACATCTCGTTACCAGGCTAGGTAACATCTTCAGCGGGGTTTAGGGGATTCTATACTCGCAATAAAAACAATGTTATTTATTTCGAGGGAAAATTTATGTCGACGTAGGAAATCAGAATAGTTCACGATAAGCTTGCTAAGTATTTCGACTAATACAGTACAACTCCGCAATTTCTGGGAAAGTATTTGTGTTTTCAGTGCACGGAGTGGTCAGTTGCATTTGAATGGTTGAAATATCTATATACATTTCAAAAGTAAACTTTGTACCATGGTAACTTCTATGGTAGATAAACTTTTCCTTCTACGTAAACAAACATAATTACACAACTCCTTATTTTTCTCCATTGTTCTCTGCAGGCAGGGCTCAATGTCTGCCTTGGATGAAATAATGAATTATTTCAGCTTGAACCGGATAATCTCTTTAATTAGAACAGTGAAGAATCTTGTTTCACATGGAAAATTTAGTTCAGTATTTTTGAAATTTGGTGGCTTTAAGACGCGTACATTTCAACTGTCACGAAGAGCAGTCTGAAAAGTTCCCAAGTTTAAAAATCAGCCCGTCCGTGGAGCAAAATTCTGAGAAACTAACTGCTATTGGGGGAAGAAAGAAAAGAGAGGACGAATAAAAAAGAATTAAACAGAACAGTTAAAAGGAACTGGCTATAATGATATTTAATAAAATAGTGTTCAAGAATGCAAGACAGACATTTTTGCCTTGAAATCTTGATTGACACATCTACTTTTCATTATTTTTATCTCTGTGGTTGCGACCTTTCCCCTTCCTCTCCGCCGCCCCGCAACGAATCGAAACCTGCGAGGCGCGGTGTCTTCTGGGAAGCTTCTGAGGCGGCTGCCTTGCGGGGCTTGCGCTGCCCTCTCCAGCGCAAGAGTCGGCGTGAGGCAGAAGCTCAATGGAGGCGGCGTGGAGGCTGATGACGGCCCCGCCGCGGTTATGGACGGGCAGCCTTCTCGTCTCTACCGCTCGTCGGCTGTTCAGTACAGGTGGGTGGGCAGGCCGGAAAAGAAGGACCTGGGGCTGTCGTATGGGCAAGTGTCGACGTGAACCCTGCCTTGGCGTTTCCACCGGCGCGATAAATTTTGGCCCCTTTTATTTTATACCCCGAGCATTAATCAATTATAGCGCCTTCGCTTTCTTCATATGCAACGAGAAGGGGGGAGCTTTTGTGAGTGTGTGTATGGGATTTCCAGCCAGGATTTAACTTTATGTCAGTGTTTCTCAACCTTGACAATTTTAAGGCATGTGGACTTCAACTCCCAGAATTCCACAGCCAGCATTGCTGGCTGTGGAATTCTGGGAGTTGAAGTCCACATGCCTTAAAATTGTCAAGGTTGAGAAACACTGCTTTATATAAAGGTTGATCTGTAAATATGCTGCATAAAAGCTCCAATTGTTGACTTGTCATAATAAGATTTTCAAAAGCAATCTTTTACAGCGACATTGACTATTTTATTCTTTTTTGTTTGTTTGTTTAAATCAGGAATTCCTAACTCATTTCTGGTGAAAGAACCTCCTCCTCCAAAAGTGGTTGACAGATGGAATGAGAAACGAGCACTCTTTGGTGTCTATGATAATATTGGAATTCTGGGTAAATATTAGTTTACAGTAGATTATCCCTACCAGCAACATGTCTTCCAATAACAACATGTATCGGAGAAATACACGGAGTCTACCATCCCTCAAGCTCCTGCAAACTTTTGTAGTGATTCTAGCAGATGTTTAACGTGATCTTTCTTTTTTTCTCTTCCCCCCCCCCATTTTGAAAGAAGGAAATTGTCATGGAAGTTCCTAATCTGAGAAAAACTCATGTGATTGCTTTTGATAAGAAAATTGAAGGGAATGTTTATTTGCTTAACATTCTACTTTATTTAGGAAGGGAATGCCTGTTGCAATTGAAGTTGGTGGTAATCTGTGATTAAAAAAAATTACTGAATAAACCTTTTGAAAATCGAAGTGGTAGAATTCCAAAATGTATCTATTGTGTTTTTCTTCTTAGGGGATTTCAAAGCCCACCCCAAAAGCCTGATTGCGGGGCCTATATGGCTACGTGGATGGAAAGGGAATGAGCTGCAGAGATGTATTCGCAGAAAGAAAATGGTGGGTGATCGAATGTTTGTTGACGATTACCATAATCTGAATAAGAGGATTAAATTCTTGTACAAGCGATATAATCGCTATAGACTGCATCGCTAAAAGAAGTTCTCCGTAGCAACATTTATCCCCAAACATTGTGCATTACTGGAAGATATTAGTGCCTCTAATGTGCAGAAACTGATGATTGTGTGAATCATCCAAATATCATCCTTGTTATTGCTTTCCATCTTATGAATTATTTTCTATTTCCAGTTGCTTTTCTTTCACTTCATTAATTGAAATACTTCAGTGTTCTGATATCTCATTCCTTAGAACAGTGGTGGCGAACCTATGGCACGTGTGCCAGAGGTGGCACTCAGAGCCCTCTCTGTGGGCACGCGCGCCATGCCCCGGAGATGGCGACCGTCCCCCTTCAACCAACTGCCCGCTAACTCGCCGAGGTCCCACATGGCTGGATGCATCCCAGCACCAATGCGCTTGCTGG